CAAGTCTGATGTATCATAGAGTTCACTTCTTATTGATTAAACGTTTCTAGAGGAGGACATGGAGGCCATGAAAGCTTCTCCCCATTTATCCAGGAACAAGGGACAATTTAAGCTTAGCTGAGCTTTGTTACACCAAGACTGCCACACTCAGTGGCAACTAATTCTGGGTGAGGGGACACTGGAAGTAAGACTCCTTGTAACAAAACACTTGGAAGATTACAAACATGTCATTAACTACTTTCACAGTATTGCAAACGATTGCAACGACATCTACAACTCGTACAGTTATCCCCTCCTGTTCTGAATGGTCTATTTGAGTCACAAGTGGGCCATTATGATGCAGATGCATTATCCTATGTACTTTTTTCAGTTGTGATGTGTTTGCATCAGTTTTTTCTGAAAGCCTTTTCACAATTTACTATAAAGGCAAGTGAGTCTTTCACAAGAGATGTTTAATCTGACCAATTCAAGTCATTTTCATAAGGAAATGTTGAGATATTACCTTAAGGCCCAGGGAGTCTATATTCTTCTCCCAGGTATGTTAGCTGGTGTACATTGTATGTAAATGTAATGCCTACCACAGACCCTACATCCAACATAAAATATATGTTGTATGTGTTGTACAATGTATGCATCAATTTCTGCAGCTTTCTTCAACTCAACTGGCGTGTAAGGTCCCAGTCCTTTCAATTTTACTAAAAGTTACCTTACGGTCAGATTGGACGGCTAGTTGCAAGTACTTTGCCCTTCATCCATGTGTTTATGAGTTTTCTTATGACTCCAAGACAACATAAATGCATATAATCTAAGGGAAACATTGTAACCCTTTTCACTATACCACCCAAAGGAGACGATATTTGATTCAAGTGGTGGTCTTCATCAGTCATTAAGTGACAATTAGCATCGGTTCTTAACTTTGCATTAACTTTTCATCCTTCCACTCACCACCTTGAACACATTTATTACAACCAGAATAACCATTATGAGCCTTTGTGTTTTTAATGAAAGCTATTGCAGGTGCATCACACACAAATGGACATACTTTGAGTGTCAGCCATTGCAAATAAGTGTCATTCTTCAAAATGTGAATAAATGGGCCTTAAAACTGATCAAAACTTTTTGGCTTTCTAAGACAATGCTGAAGTCTACCGCTTTTGAAAAGGGGGAGTCCATCTATATTAAACTGCAGTGTTATTTAATTAAGCAGTCAAGAATAAAGATAGCCATGACACCAAACCTATAGCCAAGCCAAAATGATGGTAATCCCCACCATCCACTATCATAGTTCTTATTGGACCTTGCGTCCTGAGAAATGCCCTGGCACCATTATATATGCTTTATATGGTATATTATATAGAGTGCAGTTATGCCCCTAAAGAGGCTGAAAATGTAGAAGCCAAGTGTCATAAACTTGTTATTTAAAAGGTCAGTTTCAGTATTATCTGAATCAACAGCCGATGCAGAGCAGCCAGAGCTCTCAAAACTAGTCGTGAGCTTTGTGTAGTGATACAGAGTTTACACTCACTTCTGAACTCAGCACATAGCCCCTTTCATCTGCGTTACAATAGTCTGAAATACCAGACACCACTATCACTCTTGGGTGCTTAACTTATCCACTGATACAGCTACGTCTACTTGTAAGTTTTGTGTGCTAACCATCTCTTTAACTGCTGGAGTATCTCTGTGGGGTTCGAGCGTCAGGAGCAGCGCTCGTCACAGTTCTCTCCCTCATGCACAAGATCACACAAAGAGTTCTGCCTGGTGTCTAATGCTTTTTGCCGTTGTAGTAGAATTGTCTCTGATTGTTCCAGCGAGAGTTTTGTGCTAGACAGACCCATCAAGTGTTAGTTCTCTCCACAAGAATGCATTGCCAATGTCAGAGGAGAATGGCCAGACTGATTCCAGCTGATAGGAAAGCAAGACTGAAAATAACCACTCATTACAAACGAGGTATGTGCAAGAGCATCTCTAAAGGCACAACACATTGATCTCCCCCAGTGTAACTTTTGTTACATAAGAACAGGTCACTGAGGCTACAACTCACAAGGGTTTACCAAAACTGGAAAAGTGTAATCTTTTTGATTAGTTTCAAGGATGATTCGTCCTGCTCTCCATCAGCAGGCTAGTGGTGATTAAAATAATTCTATTCATGCCAAGGGGAAATTGAGAGACAATGCTTAGACTGTTAAATAATTGAAAGTATGATCTCTCATATTAATTATAATAGTTATTAATGTTCTGGTTACTTATAGGATATTATAGCCATTTCTGAAACACATTTGTGGTGTTCCTAATATTTTGCCTCACCTGGAAGGCATGGAGAAATCCTTTTCACCAAGAACCAAGTGCCTTAAAACATTATTCATAAGATATGCCCTTTTAGTAACAAAGCCCTTGATGGTTTCATTTTTAGTTACTTTCTCTGCAAAATTCAATTTATTTTACAATAAACTGTAATAGAGACAATTGGAGAGAAGGAAAACCAAACAAAAAAAAAAACAAAAAACAAAAAAAAACAAAAAACCAAAAACACACAAACACACATAATACAGTGTTTAATTAGTAAAACAGCTTATCGGAACACACATTTGGGCAGTAATTGTACATTACAGGCTTAACAGTAGACTTCTTCAGTCTACATCATTAGTATGGGAATGGGTGTCAAATAAGGGCACAAGTGGTCATTCCCACCCCCCCCAACGTGGGTCATCGAAGGTTGCATTAAACTCATGGCACAGTTCCACACATTACATCAGCACTTCATCCATGAGACGTTCACTCTGCCAAACAAGATTGATTCCCTGTGCAGAGGGTTAGGAACTCCATCACCTCATTGGTAAACAGCAAACGTTTTCTTGTCTCGAGCTGTTGTACAGACCACATTTAACCAAACATCATATGAGAGCCCATAGTGTTTATCACAAGGTTTCTCTCGCCGTGTACACATAATGTAAGGCTGCAGGCAGTGTAGCATCAGAGTTTATAAGGAAATGAAAGACGAAGAAAGCAAAGCTGCATTGGCAAAGTTCTGATTAGATTTACGCCCGAGGGGGCCGCCGTTAGATATTGTTATATTGATGTAGGGTGCAGCTAATAAACAATGGGTCAATTTTAAGTAAAGAGATTCTTATTCACCCCCCCAACTTTAAACCATCACACAATCTATGTTTGTATCTGCTGCAAACAAAAGCAAGAAGAGAAAACAGCCTTGGTCGAGTTCTGGTTTCATACTGAAAATGCTCCCGAAACAATTAGAAGTTCTACAACAGCAATTTGATAATCATTCACCTCGTATAATGTCTTAATAAAAAATAAATAAATAAAAAAAAAGTTAATGTAAGAATCTTTGGATTGTTGAGTGTTAGCCACAAAAAAATAAATTACATTAAAAAAAAAAAAAAAACTTACATATTCACATTTATCATTTTCTATTGGTGTTAAAAAAAAAAAAAAAAAAAAGGAAATTTAGTTTCAAGTAATATATGAATAAATACAGGATATAATCGTCAGCACTAGTTACCTCCACCACAGACATAACACTTTTGTTGTAGTTTCTTATATTAGCAGGATTACACAAAAAGAAAAAACATGAAGTCAGATTTTTCTGAGACTTTGAGAAGTAGAAAACGAGCAAAGGAAGAATTTATTACATTTTGTTGGACATCAGGATTGAGCGGTGGAGCTTCCCCTTTAAAACAGCCAATTGAAAATTAGCTTAGTCACCTGTTAGTCATTTGTTAAACTAAGCTGAGCTGTCTACACTGGCAGTCTATCACATGTTGTTTCACAGCTGTATTATATTTATTGTGCTAATAAATATACTTTGTACAGCATATGATGTGTACATGAAGTTATATTTTTGTTAAGGCTATGGTGCAGCTACAGCACAGACTTAACACAGGACTTCAAATCAAACTTTAGGATTCCATGGAAAGAACACCATCTTTTTGTCATTTCATCTTTTACATAGCCGTATTTTCCGCACTATAAGGCGCACCTAAAATCCTTTAATTTTCTCAAAAACCGACAGTGCGCCTTATAATCCGATGCGCCGTATGTATGAATTCTGGTTGTGCTTACTGACCTCGAACCAATTTTATGTGTAACACGGCGCTCAAAAATCTTTCCAAAAATGTTTTAGTACGACTTTAGTAAGCTATGAAGCCACACCGCTTGATGGTAGTATTACGGCTACCGTAGTCAGGAGCCAAAACTGTGTTTGCTTCAGGTCCCAAAATCAAACGAACACTGCGGCATCATTGAGAGTTAAAAACTGTCTAAATTCTTTTATCTTTTTAAAAATAAAAAAAATATAAAAAATTATCAGCGTTGCTACTTTACCAGGTATAACGATTAATTTTAGCATCCAGGCATCCATGAAAACAGAATTTATTAAATTTAACTGAGTTAGAAGTTAGCAGGAAGTTAGCTCGCTAGTTTCCACCTAAACATGATGTACCATGTTCTGACTGAGAGATTTCTGAAAAAACTAAAACGTACAGCTCTGCTATCACTTCCAACATAAATGAAGACAGAAAACTAAAAAGCAGTGACGTTTGTAGGGTTACTGAATCGGCCTACTTGGTATAATGATTTGCTACATGATTGCTAGCGACACAGCTATGTTAGCATAACATAAACACAAAAATTGGCTGGAGGATGAACGCTAACTTTTTTCCCCACTCGAGTAACATGCAAGGTTAACGTGAGGGTTCCCGATGGTTAGCGACAAATGAAATCGCATGGCAGGATGCTGTAAATGGACCAAACTTCAGTCAGGAGAACAACTGAGATAATCCATCCACAATACGAGGTTAGTTTGCAACACCATGGGAATAGAGCAGCTGCAAGTGAATTCTGTATGCCTTATGTATGAAAACAGACCCATTCATCGACAGTGTGCCTTATAATCCAGTGCGCCTTATGGTCTGAAAAATACAGTACTCCTTTACTATTAAATAACATGAATTTGAGCATGGTGGTTTTTGAAAAATGTTTTATTGGAGTCTTGGCGAAGATCCTTCCTCCGAGTCATCTTTTTGTTACTATGTAGATTAAATTAGCAGTGTATTAATTTAATTGTGTCATACAAGTATGCATGTTAATCAAAGCTATGTACTTAACCGATTGTGCATTGAATTGCATTTTTGGAATGACTGAACAACTCTTAATAGAGAAGGCCAACATAATTGGCACATATATAAAATATGTATATATTCTTTAAATATATATTTTGACTACATTGAAAAAATCTGTATGTACAGATAACTTGTTTTTAATTAAAAAAAATAATAATAATTTACCCTAGCTCTAAGAACAAAACAAAAACACAAACAAGCAAAACAAAAACAACCTACACTTGGTCAAGCACATATTCCAGTGGATAAACTATGTAGAGACAAGTTGAGCTACAGATTTCATCAGTCTCCATCAGACTCAAAACAGAATTTTTTTTTTTGTGGGGGGGGGGGGGGGACTCACCAGAAAAGGGGGAAAACTAGTTTTTTGAAGTGGATTGCAACCACTGAAAATATTTTAAGCTCCAATCCAACATGGCCAGAACAGAGTTTCAAACTCAAAGGCTGGACATGTTGGCATTACACTGTCTAACAGTCCAGATAACTGCTACTTAAAATACCTTTTGATATAATTCAGCTCGTTTTAAAAAACAAAAACACACAAGTCAAACAATGCAGGTATGTTAAACAGTGTAGTGGAAATGAAAGTGAGATGACTGCATGAAGGGTGACTAAAGAGGTTAGAAGTTTGTGCTTCGCTTATTCTGCAGTGTTTGAGAAATTGCTTGTCAACCCTATGTTGCTAGCTCATTTTCTTCCCTGTATCGATAACGAGAGGCGTTGGCAGAAATGAAAGACACACACATACACACACACACACACACGACAAAATGACAAGTTTTGCAGGTAGAGTCTGGTCTTTCACACTGGAGGGTAAAATGTAGCAAAGACAGAATGCTTCCATTGTGCTAACCTGTTTAAGCAACTTTTATTACTCCACCATTCACAAAAATAGAATTTACTTGCTGGTTTGACATCGCTTCCAGTGAACGGTTAGGGATATCTGGAAACTGATGGTGGCAGCTGATGGGCGGGGTAATGGAGCATGTCGATCTCCCATCCAGTTCTACATCCTGAGAATCAGGTTGAGGCGTGCATAGTCATCCCCATTTTTCTTTGTTAAATCTAAAAATGAATGTTTAAATTGTCAGACAGCCATAAAATAAATAAATACAAAACACAACCTGAATTGTATTGTTGCAGGTATACAATGTTCTCAAGCCCCAACTTCTAAATGATATCAATTTAGTTGAACTAGGTGCCCCTGCAATGGCTTCCAATTAATTTCAAAATTTTAATGATATTAATCACTTTTAAAGCATGAACTGGCCAGACTCCAGTATGAACCTCAATCTGACTTTGAATAGTAGCCAGCAGGATGGTCTGATTTCCCAAGGAGTGATTTATGAAAATCCTTTTACCGAGAGGACCGATCAAGTGTGTCGTCATTGTAAGCCAGACAAACCTTTGCAATAATGGAAATTTGTGTTGCAAAACAATACAATTAATTATAATGGAACCTGAAAAGCCTGTTTTAGACATGAGTAAAAAACAAATTCCTCACTGTGGTTGCTTGCTCTTCTTCTCTTTAAAGAGAGCCCACAGTTTCTAATCTTACTACCACAAGTTCGCACCGTGTCAGCCGTCTCCTCCCCTTCGGTGTGCTCTCCATAGCGATTATACGTCTCCATGTCAGAGAGAGCACTCTCCAGTGCATCCTCTTCATAGTCAGTGTGGTAGTCGGATTCTTCTGATGCAAGGAAAGAGTGGGGGACAGGAAGCACACTGTGGGTGAATAAACTGGAATATTTGGAGTGTAGAATGGTGACAAATACACGTGGGTGTGCAGGTGCATAAGTCAGAACATTTGAAATGTCATACAGGGTGGACTTTGATGACAAATGCATTATAAATAGAGAGAACAGGAATAAAAACAAGTTTGTAAATGCTTAGTTACTAAATTGCACAATAAAAACACGTTCCCTTTCCGTCAGCAGGTTTTACACTGAGGCTAACAAGTCAGTCTCCTGACTTGTTAGAATTCTGACCTAATAAAATATGACCTTTTGTTTGTGGGGTTGATTTGTTTTTCATTAGGTCAAGAATGACAAACACAAACATGGAGACATGAGCGTACTTAAAAAGTACTTTGAGTGTGGCTGAAAGCTGCAGTGTTGGAGTGTGTGTCAGTAGTTTTACCATCCACAAGAGGAGGTTTGACGGGCTCAATGCGGGACACAATTTCTGCCAGGTCAGTGAAGGAAGCATTGGGACATGTCACCACCTTTTTATAATAAAAAAAAAAAAAAAAAGCCACAGTCAGTTACAGGGACTACTGAGGAGGCATTATGGAATTTTGTCTTTGAATACGCTTCCAAACTGTGTGCCAAGCATGCCGGCTGCAAGAAACACTATAATGGAGTTGTCCTCCTCTAGATTGCTGTGTGTTGGAAATTACAGCAAAGTATAATGGAAACTAACTGCATGAAAAAAAAAATCTGCTGCAGACTTGTGCGCAATTTCAGCTTTTCAGTGAAGCACATCTGGTTTTGCCTTTTTTTAAAGCTCGGCTAGTCCCAAAACCTTGGTTATGTTTTTAAGTCTTGATCTGCATTTTGTGCATTCATACAAATAAATAGTATCAAATGTATCACAGAAGGAGAAGCATTGCATCCCCTGGTTGTTGTACTCTCCAGTAGCATCTGAAAATAGAAATGCATTCATTAACTGTGTGGGATGCCTATTGTTTAAAAGAATGAGAACAGAAGCCATTTAGTCTTAAACATTACGGTCTCAGATCTGCAATCATAAAAGTGGCTCCATCCTGTTTTCAGCAATTGTTCTGTTGCCTTTGTTGTTTGTTATCAGGGAGGGGGAGGTTGCCAGTGTGAGTCCTGCTGTTTTACCCTTCATCCTTGTGTTGTTGTTCAAACTGGGAGTAAATAACTCATCTGTCTCCATCGTTCTCGTCATCTCTTGGTTAGGAGCTTTGTCTTTCTGTGACATTGCTTGGAACAAATCTGGTACACAAAAATCTATTTTTGTGTACATTAAAAGCAAATTCATAGTTTTATTGTTATTACTTTATCAGAAAAAAAAAAAAAAGAGCTTAAGGTCTAAAGTGGTGCACTGTTAACAGCAAGTCATATAGCACAACCAATAAAATGTGAGAAAATGATCCCAAAATAATTAACCAACCAACTGGTCAATTCAATGTGAAAGGACTGCAAGTGGGGTGTTAAGCTCACTTTAAGATACCATTTATTTATTTATTAAACTCTGGATGCAAGGAACATGGATTTTGAAGATAATTAGTCAGACTCGTAAGATTACTCAAGACCATAAACTACAGCAGAGAAGTGTTCTCCTCCTCGAGCTTCCCTTTTGTAGAAAATAGCTTTTATACCCTCTCATCATTTCCTGACACATTTTGTTAACAGCTGTAGGACTGGGCGTAAACTTAGAGGAGATCGTGCTTTTGCTGTAGCAGCTCCCAAACTGTGGAACGAGCTTCCTTTAGAGATTAGACAGGCCAGTTCTTTATCTGTTTTTAAGTCACTCTTGAAAACCCACCTCTTTACCCTGGCCTTTGACACCACGTGAGATGTTGGTTTTTTATTTTAGTTGTTTTTAGGTGATTCGATGCTGTTTTATCTTGTTGTTTACATAGGGCTGTTTTAATTTTATGTTTTATGTGTTTTATTTATTTATTTTGCTGTTTTTTTTATTCTATTGTTTTAACTTATTTTCTGTACAGCACTTTGTTCCTGTGCTGGGTATTTTAAACTGCTTTATAAATAAAATTGGATTGGATAGTGTATGTCCATGTGTTGTTCACTGCCAACATCCTTACATTGCTTCTGCTTTGCGTGTTGTGGAACTCTTCTTGATGTCTGTCTTTCAGCATTTTTTCCACCACACCACTACGACGCCACACATCAAACACAGTCTTGCCATGCTGGTACCCCACCTCCTAAAAATCACACAAACATATTCACATATCAGTACCATTTTCTATTTGCCAAAAAAGTTATTTTTAAAAGTTGGTCTAGTGCAGGGGTAGGCAACTCCAGGCCTCGAGTCCGGTGTCCTGGAGGTTTTAGATGTGTCCATGACCATCACAGCTGATTTAAAGGGCTAAATGACTCCTCAGCATTTCTTGAAGTTCTCCAGAGGTCTGGTAATGAACTAATCATTTGATTCAGGTGTGTTATCAGTTTTACCCAGGGTGCGAACTAAAACCTGCAGGACACCGGCACTCGAAGCCTGGAGTTGCCTACCCCTGGTCTAGTGTTTCAGATAATGAAAAACTTGTGTCTTACAACATCTGAAAGTTTCAATACTTGTTCATGATCAGGGGTAAAAGAGTTCAGGTGAAAACTAATTTCTGAAATACTTACAGGGGGGCCCACGCAGTTCAAATAATCTGAACTTACAGCAATCTCAACTGCCAAACTCTAGTGTACGGTATCTGTCGATTGGAGGTCTGATATACTCGCAGTAATCGCTGCTCTTCACAGACTCCAACTGTCTCACACAGCACACATAGGCCAGCCGAGTCTGAATCTCTGCCATGTTTAGCACCTGTGGAAATTAACTTATAAATCACTGAAATGATTTCCAAAAATATCCTTATTTTTATTGATAGAATTAAAAACATTGCTGCACAGCATGGTGTGTCTTTACTCTTAATCAATCCATCACCTTAACTTTCTCAGCAAGGGGGTTAAGGCGTTTCCATAGCAGCCACCAGCCTGAGAGTGAGTCGCCGTAATTAGTGAGATTTGTTTCATCCCGGCTGCCCACATCAATAGCTATTACCACTTTGGCCCCCATGGAGCGCGCAACATCAGCTGGGAGAATCAGGGGAAGAAGACATCAAGACAAACAGCATACAGTACTGGTAAAATTAAAAATATATTGCTATAAGCAAACAGCTGAGCAACTACATCAAAGTACGGCTACTTTTAATACTTAATAAGGGAAGGTACAAACTGAATGTAACAAACCAGGCAGGTTGTTGATATAGCCTCCATCCATCAGCAGGTGTCCATCTTTCGGGTCACACAGAGGAGGGAGATATCCCGATAGAGACATGCTAGCACGGACATACCGCCATAGAGAACCTCAAATAACAAACAAGCAACTTAAACTTACTTAAAAGGCATAAAGCCTAACTGCAAGCAACCAATATGAATCAACCGAAAATTAATCAGACTATTAAAAAGAGTCAGATCATCTATGACCACAAAAAAACAATTCAGAAAACTCAATCAAGAACAGAATGATTCTTTCAAAATAAATAAACTGAACACTGTATTTACCATCAGTGTGTACTCTCATGGCAGAGGCAGTGATGTCAGTTGTGATATTGAAATATGGGATCCAAAGGTCCTACATGACACAGAATTTACACTGGCCTCAGATCAGTATTCCAACAGCTGGGTCACACCTACTGTCATTTAGCTCACCTCAATCTGTTTGCTTTTGAAGACGTTGTTTATGCCAGAGTTTAAGGAAGCACCAGAAAACATGGATGTGATTGGATATGTCAAATCCAAGACCTTCCTAAATACTGAAGTCATTTCCTACAGGAAAAGCAAAAAAAAAAAAAAAAAAAAAAAAAAAAAAACAAGATAAATAAAACGATTAAATAAATGTTTCCCACCTCTAAGCCACTCAAGATCTTTTTGCTTAAGTGCAAAGCAGAATTAATCCCTAAAAGTTTAACTTCATTTTTACAAGTGTCTGGGCACCTATATACCCGACAGCGCCAAAAAAAAAAAAAAAAAAAAAAAACCACACACACACACACACACTTTGTCATATTTTGTCTGACAAGTGTACATTTCTCAATCATTTGAACAATATTGACTATACAAGTTTTGCTTCCTGTGACATCTTAATTTTCATCAATTGAGTCTGCTAAGAACAAACTTATTTTGAACCTTCTGTAGGCAAGAACAGAGCCAGAGGAGGAAAGGCCATATACAACGTGGAAAACCAAAACCTACCAAATGCTCTGCCTGCAGATCTGAGACAGAGCAGGTGTCTCAAATCAGCTTTAATGGATGTTCCAACAAAGTTACATTTTTTTACAGTATTAACATGTCCATATGAAGTTGTTTTTCTTAAAACATGCTAGAAGTAGGGCTGTGCCATATCATAGCATCCAAAATACCGGTATCAATACCGGTAACAAGCCCTGCTAGTTGTCAATACTGTGTCACGAGTATTACACTATAAAGCTATTTCTTGCATTTTGCCTCAATGCCTTCAAAATACTGCAAAACTAATTTTGACGCCACACCCCACACCCTTGGCCAATTTGTTTACTCCAGCTTGTAAGCTAAAATGCTCATCTGTAACATTACCTGCATGTTTAACTTTCATGTGTTCTAGCTAAGATTTAAGATATAACACATCAACACTGTCAACTTGTGAGGTGGGGCTAACTTTTAGAGCAGAAAACCCAGGACAGTGATGTCAAATTCACTTTGATCTTAGCAGGTTGGACCAGTGAAACATGATAAATGTGTTGAGTTAAAGAAAAAGTTACGATAGTTCATTACACAGGCAGTCCAGGACACAGGCAATAGTTGAAAAATTTACTTTCCTGTCATTTAACTGTTTACCTGTTAGTTAATTACTTTGATGGATGGGTAGTCTTTATCAATAGGAAAACTTCTGAAATTATAGTGGACTGATTCTGGCCCCCGGGACTTATGTTTAGACATCCCCATCTAGGGTTAAAGGGTTACCTAACATGGCACAGTTTCAGAGTACTCCCTTTCCTTGTTGATCACTGTGATAACTTTTTACATTATTGTGTCTTTTCCACATGCAGTAAGTGAACATAAGAATGGGCGGGGCTTGCAAACACAGATCGATGCATACTAAATAGGGATACAGCTGAAGTGTTACATCTAAGGCTACGTCCACACTAGCCCGAATAGATTCAGAAAACGCTCCGCGTCCACATTAGCGTTTTCAGTCGTTTTCACAGAGTTCTGCGTCCACATTGGAACGGCCGAAAACGCTTACGTTCCAGTCCTGCGCATGCGTGAAACGCAAGAAGATTCAGCCTGCCTCATTTCTGTCTACCATTCATTTACTTTCCGGCTCTTTGAAACGTCATGGCAAAATGTCGAGGAAAAGCACAGGGTTTTTTTTGTTTGTTTTTTTAAATGGACTAACAATGAGGTGGAGTTGTTGCTGCGAGTAACACAAAAGTACAAAGTTGCAAAAGCAAGTGAGAATTAAAGAATTTGAAGAAAAGCGATCTGAAGCAAACAAACTGATATTAATCTTTAATAGGGCTGCCAAATTAAGCGCAAACAAAACAATTGCTGTATAATGCCCTCCGCTATCTTTGTTTAATTGGTCACATGACTAACATGCATTATCGTTTTTGAAAGTCTCCATTTTCGCTGTCCACACTGCGACGCATAAGAACAGTCTTCAAATGTATGCGTTTTCGCGAGCGTTTTGAAAACGCTGCATTTACTTTCTGTGCCGTCTCAGTGTGGACGGGAGGCCAAAACGGAGAGAAAACGATGCGTGGATGTAGGCCAAGTCATTCTAATGCAGAGAGCTACTCAATGGCAGGAACAGGACTTGTACGTGATATGAAATGGTGGTTCATGTGCTCAGCATGGTTTATTTAATTAAAAGCAGGACTGAGATCTAAACTGGATTAGACTTAAATCATTTCAGGAAGAAAGTCTCACATCCATGTATAACTAACCCAGTTTAAAGCAAGTTTAAAACATACTCTAGATTGCTATCATTAAAAGTTTGACACTGATCAAATTCAAGACTTCTCTGCTCAATGTCATTCCAGGAAACCACACCTCCATTTTATTATTTATTTTTTAAGCAACATTAGAAGGGGGAAAGAAAAAAAAAAAAAAAAAAAAAAAAAAAAAAAAAAAAAAAAAAAAAAAACGAAAACCCAAAACAATTATACTGTGGTTGAACTTGGAGTTCTGGTAACTGCCTCATAAGTGACTTTTAAAGAAAGAATGGGACAACGTCTGAATAGTTTATGGAAAACAAAGCAGATGTCAGTGCATTCAGAAAGATTTAGATCTGAAATACTGCAGCAATTGCCACTTTGACTCTTACCATAGCCCATTCTCTAGCTCTTATCCTCAAGCGACTGTGGCTACGGTCCTCTGCATATAGAGCGCCCATCAGGGAGCCAATTGATGTTCCGCCAATTAGGTCTACGGGGATGCCAGCTTCGCATAGTGCACGCATTATACCCACTTGAGAACAACCCCTGGTTAGAAGGGTGGGGGAACAAACATGGAAAGTGAAAAATTTTACAAAGAAAAGACTGACATAAATAACCAGCATCATTAGGAGCTGATGTTGTATAATGTTGTCTTTAAAATTATGATGAGAAACAAGCATGTGACAAACATTACCTGGCCCCTCCTCCTCCCAGGACAAGAGCAATAGCATTGCCTGTAAGAACACGAGCCAGGCGGGAAAAGTCAGAATGGCGATCTGCTGGTTTCTCAAACACACGCTGATACAGCTCCAACTGCAAAAAAAGCAAAGTACTGCTAAAAGAAGATGATGAAACAAGTGGGATAAGAATGAATGTACTGATGTTGAAAGACAGGAAATAAGAAAAACTACAAAATGCGAAGCTGAGGGTGGATCTGAAAGGGGGGGGGGGTTTAGACACACAGCACATTCTGGCCATGTCTTCCATTCTCACCAGTTTGGGCTGGCTTCGTTTGGAGAAGACCCTTCGGGGACAGGCAAGATGGAGGTGTCTGGAAATCCAGCTTCGCATGTTGAGCCAGTCTACGGTTCCTTTGGGTGCAGGACCATCTTCTCTGTGCAACAGCACAAGCTGCTTCTGCGCACGCACTGCACTTCCTTCCAACATACGCTCCAACTACAGAGAAAGCAGCACAGATATTTTAGAACATTTTATGAACTATAGGAATTGAGTCCCTGGGGGAGAGAAGAGAGAAGAAAAAAAAAAAAAAAAAAAAAAAAAAAGGGGGGGGGGGCAGCAAACTTGTGCAAATCCTTTATAAATTTTTGGATTATTGCAAAGGTTTCATGAAACAAACAATCACTTTTCTTAATCATATCTGAAAAAATACAATGTTCTGTTATCTTTAAAAACTGGAGTGAAAGAATAAGCAGAAAAAAAAAGTTCCACTAAATATGTATTTTAAATAAATAATGTTCTGGTTCAGGCATTCTTGTGTGACCAACAGGCCCTGCATCTTTTTAAGGTATAGTGTGTCTGTAACATATACACCACCTTTCATGTGTGCCCTGAAAGATAAAATAAAAGATGGAGATACAATTATACAGGGACAGATTACACAAGCAGACTACACAATTTATTTATATAAAAAAAAAAAATTAAAAAAAAAAAAAAAAAAAAAAAAAGCGGCCCATTGCTTTTGAGATTATTCTCCACATGAACTGTTTACCTGCATGAGGTCAAAGATTTGTCCAACTCATTTCTGAACAAAACAGAAACCAGAAAGCTTCCAGTATCAAACTTGCCAATTTCATACAAAACTGTTTTTAATGAATTGCAGAATCTTTGTTAACTGAGTTATTTACCCTGCAGGTGCATCTCACCACACTGCCGCTTTCAGGTATGTTTCTGATTTGCTGGCAGAGGTGACAAGAAGCCACATTCACAATAATTTGTGAATGTGGCTTCACAGTAATTTGGGAGTGTCTTTGCATGATTTGAAAGTGTAGCTCTAACAGCTCCTAGTAATACACCTCTCTCTTCTCCTGGGAACCAGTGAACACCTCACCTCCCCTACAGTAGGGTCCTGCTCGCCTAATCCCACAATAATGATGCAGTCAGCCTGACGGATGCACCTCTGTGTCCACGGGGTCAGTGTGTAGTCAGTCTGGTAAAGAACTATGCGATGGATGTCTTCTTGTTGGCCCAGCCAGCTGGACAGACGGTACTCATGAACACTAAAGAGGAAAGGAGTCCATTAATGACAGGCAGCATTGCTTTGCTGGCAGCATCCAAGACATCCATTTTCCTCTTGTGCCAATAGAGCAAATTTTAGCAGAATTTAATGAGCGTGAAAGACAAAGCACAAAGAAAATAAAAACCAACAGAAAGCAGTAAGATACTGAAAAATACTCATTTTATTTGAGGTTTGAATAAGAGAAGATGGACCTGCGAAATTGCATAAAATGTTTGAATATGGCCTAAAACATACCTGTCAAGTGCAGCAGCTCCAAGACGCTGTTTGATAATACCACTTGTCAGTAGAAGAGTAGGACCTTTATGTGAGAGATGATAGATTACACCCATGAATGTCTACTTCAAGGAGGTGTTACGTCCAGGTTACAGACAGCTGAAAGGTGATTTGATTTTGGTTCAATTACAGTTCAAATTAGGATGCAAATAGGAATCCAGAATTCTTAAAGGGAGAGCATTTCCATCATGGCAGCCCCTCTAATCATGCCTCCATGTCCTCGATAAGAAGTTTTGGAAAATGACAACAGACTGGGTGAAGAGCAGCAGTAGGCTGGTCATATGTTTAAAATAAACAATCATCCATGACCTGAAGCGTTTTCTGTGTCGAGAACAGCAGTGAATGATTATAAGCCAAATTTGAGCTTCCATATCTCTTTCCATTCTTACCTATTGCAAGGAGTGCATGCTGCAGCTCTAGAGTAAAGGCAGTAAGAGGCACCTCTTCTGATACTGGCAGGACTGCCACAGTGGAGAGGTTGGAGGCTTGGTTTCCTGCATCCCACTTACTTCCTGGTGTGTGCAGGGCCAAACTGCGAGCTGGAGATGTGTTACAGATTTGCAAATGGTGAAAAACAGATTTAATACCAGAAATGATGGGAGAACCTAACCAATTAAAACATGTGTAGACCATGCATATGTTCAATCCAAAGTTTGTTTGCTTCCCAGCCCCTACATAAAGGACTTTCTGAGAAGTTTTTAGCAAGAGCCAAAGAAAAATTACAAACCTTATTAATTACAAACAGTATCAAAACATTTTCAGTTTATTATAATTAAACACAAGATATTTGTTTATCCATTAACAAACAGATGTGCCACACAATCACTCCCTTTATGGTACGTCAACAAAAACTGCCAGTATGTCTGAGCCAGGAAAGAGCCTGCAAAATAGGCAGCATAGCACACAGATGTACACACCTGTCAGAGGACCATTGACCTGCTGTAGTATCTTCTGTCCGAGTAAGTGGATCAGCCTGGTGACAACCTGAGATGCACATTTTATAATCAGCCCTGTTACTCAGATTCTGCAGTACAAAGTCATTTCCTGATTTTATTTTAAATGTTTATTGTGATGAGTTTCAGTGAATGCAACATGTTAATTTTTATTAGTTTGATTAAATGTATTAATTATCTGTATTATTTTCATGATTACTTCAAGTCTTTTTTTGTTTAAAGGAAAGGGACGGGTGAGGCAATAGCACTTGTTCTCTCCAGTAAAAAGGATTACTTTAACAGAATTGTTTTCAAATAAGATGAATTTAACACATTAGATTAGGCCTACCTGAGGAAATTTCCTCTTGATAGAGCAAAGTGCACCTTCTGGTAGCTTGGCCAGCTCAGAGTCTCGTACAGCGTGTACTGTGGTCGCTCTGTTTTGACGGGTCAAGGCCTCTACCTGCGCACAGACAAGTCATTAATTACACAAAATCCAAACAAAGCCTATCCAGGAATGCAAGTAAATAACTAATTGGACATCTTAATAAATAATTATATCAACATTTTTGTTATAATTTTATAAATAATAGTACAGAATTTATACCTGGAATTTGCCATTTCTGTATCAATTATTTCATTTAGGGCAGGCACTGTATATTCTGAACAGACATTGATTGTCTCCTTCGATTAAAAATAAATAAACAAATAAATAAGAATACATGCGAAGCTAAAAGGCTAAAATTAACCTCTACCCCTCATCTAAAACTGACATCTGAGCCATGCTAAATTTGTCTCACAATCACTATCACAGAAGCTCCAATGACAGCGTCTCTCCTCCAGGTAACAGTAACCATAGGATCCATTAACCCAGGTATTATTAGAAGTATTGAACCAGTCACACCAGCTGACAGAGAGGTGGATGAGTTAAACCAAGTCACTTTGCTTTACACAGGCTGAAAATACCATATAGAGTTTAATTTGAGAACTATTAAAATATTTAGAAGATATCTTAGAATCAGATTCGATCATTGTCATCAAATCATGTTTGTATAAAAATGTATCCCAAAGTCATGCTGCCCCCCCATCTTCCCTTTGATTGTAATATGAAGTGCAGTAATTTCAAACAATCCATTTATTACGACCCAAATCTTTTGACCAGTATTGAAGGTTAACAACACCCACACTCCTCTGGTAGTCTGGCAAATGAATTTGGTGCATGCTTTTGTCTAAATGCACTTTAGCTGTCCCAAAAAGAGCCCGAGACAAAGGGCATGAAAAAGATATAATTATCTGGATTGTTTTTTATGCATATTCTATTTCAGCTGCCTTTTGGCTACATTTTTTGTTCTTTTTTCCCCCCTTTGTTTAAATATATCCCAAGATGTACTGGTCTTAGTCTGTATTTACTGAAAGTAGAAAGTAGAACATACAGGAAATCCAGTCTCATCAGCCATATGCAGTATACTGACAGCTAATAGGCAGTTCCATTTGTGATATTAACATTGTAATTTTTTTTTTATATCTAACCTTTTAACAGGTTCTTATATGAAAACAAACAGCTAGTGTTGTTTGATACAACATGGATATTAATAGTCTTCCATCAACTCTTCCCCAGCTGTCTTCCCTCTGGCTGTCACGGTGCTTACCACTCCAATCAGGTCACCACGTCCGTACTCCCCTATCAACTCTTTCTTGCCATCCTCCTTCATGATTACTGAGCGCAGTCGACCACTCAGCACTATGAAAGTGCTGTCTGATTTCTCTCCCTGCCTGCAAAAAGAAAAGAAAATACAGATAACTTCAGTCTACTCCAAACAACTCACAATCACATTTCCAAATTCAGCTTCCCCTCCCTCGATTAGTATTTATTAACTTGTCCCACATGAACCAAGTAATGCCTGTAGTGTTACGAGTTGATTTCACACATGAGACACAAGGTCAGCAGAGGAATACCTGTAAACAGCCCTGCCAGCTTCGACAGCCATCCAGTCAAGAGCAAAGTCTATTTGCCTGACAAAAGATGACATCCTCTTCACCACAGCATGAGCAACATTCAGCACCACTTTGGGCTCCACTCGCATTATCCTAAGGAATAAAGAATAATCCACAAAAGTAGAAGTAGCCATCTTTGTTTTCCCCTCCAACTCTACAGTGCTGAACATCACAACAGTGTGAGGATGTGTGCCCAGGTCACTCACTCATAAAAATGTGTTTTGGAAATAGAGAGGAAGCTGCAATCTCGCTGAGCTCGAACTGTAAATATGAGGGGCTCTCCGGTCAGAACAGCAAGGTGACCAACAAGCTCTCCGGGATGCGTTACAAACAGGCGCAATTCTTCTTCACGGTCAATCATCCGCTGGTAAACATGGAGGAGGCCAGAAATCACGAAGTGGATGCTCACCTCCTAAAACACCAAGAGGGAACGATTGAGAGAAAATGCTCAGATTTAACAGTCCGACTCTGAATGCTGTTAACAATCAGGTGGTGAAATACTGAATTTATGATTTTTAAGATGAGTAATACCTGTGTTGAAATTCAAATTCTACTGTTGAAAGCATTACAGGCAAGTCATTCCCAGTCATCCCTTAGATTTTTAAATGACTGATTAGTTTGTTTACTTTATAAGCTTAACCTGTTTCCCCTCTTGCGTATGACTCAGGATAGCCTTTAACCATATGATAGTATAAGGGGGCCGCATTCTAATTCTTCCCACAAGCAAGTTCACATGGACACAACTTTACATGCACACTAGTTTCCCAGGTCGACCCACTGTCCAGTGGAGGCATAAATTAATCAAGAGCTGAAATGAAGTAAAATATTAAACAGAATGAAAAGTAGCTAGGTTCTAAGTTGTTGTTCCAACCTGATCTCCCTGACGAGCTACCACAGAGCCAGCTTTGACATGGTGGACGGTTACTCTGCCTTCAAGCAGACTAGGGTCCTGCAATAGAAAAAGACACTCTAAATATCCACTTATGATGACAAGACTGTGGATTTAACATTTTCCCACTTAACATGCCACAAAAATAAATTTAAAAGGGTGCATTGAAAGGATCAGAACACTGACACCAGCTGAATTTTCTCCAATTAACCCCTCACCTGCAGCTGGATGATTCCCAGCAGGTCTTTCTTAGCAGCTTGGAGGATTGCACTGCTTTTACCAAGATAGGTAGCATCAGCGTGCCCTCCACTGTCTGTATAGTGAAATACTTCAGATGGTGTGTGTTGCATTGTCACACTCTTCTTCAGACTAGACTACAAAGACAGGCACAGGAGAGAAACTACTATGGAGGAAGTAGGTAAGATGCAGCAGATACTGTGCTATTGTGTTACATTTATACACAAGACCTGTCACCACGCTTCAATGTAAAAAGCAGACCTTACTTTGTGAGTGATAGGACTTGACGGAGCGTCCTCAATGGTAACTCGAGCTCGTTCGCAGGCCATGCTGAGGTCATTACCTGTAACTCAGAAAACAAAGGATTAGGATAACGAGTACATCTGTGCAGGAAATTAATACAGCCATGTGGCATTTGATGATCGCTTATGTCCAAGGCAGTGACCCACCTGTGCATTCAGTGGGCATAGAGGTGGATCGCAGCTTCCTGGTTGAATGGCTGTCCTTTACACCATCTGCAAAAGTCAAGTGCCAGCACTGGATCAGTTTCAGTACAAGACAAAGCTGAAATTGAACGGCATGTAGTGCATGTTTGTCTGTGTGCTTGACCTGTCTCTGCAGTGTTTTCAGTGGTTCCGGCAGGTAATTCGTCCTGGAAGTGGAGACGTCGAGTCTTTCCAGTATTTGCTTCTGCCATCACATTGTTTATATTGGTCAAGGGTACTGCTTGACTCTCCTGTCAGTCAAGGAAAAAAGTAAATAAATAATAATAATTGCATCATAACTTGTGTGACAGTCATCGTGACCATGTGTATGCACATAAATACTATAGGTGTCCTATAACAAATTCTGCTCCTACCAGATTGAAGAGCTCAGTTGTTAGGCCCAGATAGTTATGCAAAGCCAAAAAGGTGACTCTTTGGAGGCGCACCATAATTATCTGAAGAAGAAAAAAAAGAAAGAAAAAAAAAAAGAAAAACCCTAGCTACAACATGATATGTAGTATATTCTGCTAATTGTTGTATGTTGTAGCTCCAAATTAGATGTTTAATTGGAGAAAAAACAAACACTACATAATGCAATCTGTTACCTGAATGACGCGTACAAGTGTCTCAGGGTACTTCTTAAACACTGACTCAAAGGCTGAAGCAGGTAAGCGTAAGATGGTGGAGCGAGTTGCAGCTCGTGCCGACACAGTTTTATATGGAGCTGGATAACCCTGGCAAAATCGAAGATAAGAATCAGAGAAATCTCATCCACATCTTTCACAGCTATCTATTTGGAACTGTCCTCTAAGTAATAAATTGGGCTAAGGATACTTTCCCCAAGGTTTATTACGTGACCTGTACGTGTACCTGTGCTTGCAGCATTTTAATGTGGCCTAAATAACTGTCAACACTTCAAAGCTCTATAACACAAGTGTGATAGTGTTTAAATTGTTTCTATGCAATGGCAACAAAGTAACAAGATATGAAAAAGTTATTCTATTGTAAGAACTGATTTTTCTACACATTACATACGTGGTTTGAGTTCATTACTGCACAATCAGTTCCAAACAACATCAATCTGAGTGTGTGAAAAGGATGACAATGATGTCTTTTAAGAAGAGAAAAACAAAGTTGAAAAGATGCAGCTTTAAATAAACAAATTACAGCAAATACAAAGTACATTAATTTTGTTTCAGGGGCATGAAGGTAATGAATAAACAAATCACACTGACACAGACACTTCAGAAGGCAAATGAGGACATAACCTAGAGAGAACAAACAGGAGCTCACAGTGATAGTGTCCAGAATACTGAGCAGGCTGTGGACGCTGTCTCCGGGGAGGACATCCTTCACCACTGATTCTGTGCCATCCTGGAATACAGAAAAGAAGAATACAGGACATGATGCCAACAAAATAATATTAATAAGGTAAAAATATTTCACACTGTCTAAACAAATCAGCAGACATCTAGTTGGATGAAAGTAGGACTTCAGCTAAGTGGACATGATTAAAATTTAAGCAAGCCAACAACATATTGGGATGCCACTGACTTGTTGTGATGGCAAAAATAAAGTAGTTACTATTTATTCTACTGTCCTCTGGTGTTCATGCTTTATCATTAGAAGTAAAACTGGAAACCAGAAAAGGCGCTGAAAATGAATGTAAATTAAATTAGGTACAGTTTGGAGCCAACCTTGCATCACACTTTTTAAAATGAACTTTAATAATGACCAGTGGGCACAGTTGTTAAAATTGCAATACAACTTTTGAATTTACCATTTTCTATATAAATTGATGTAATGTCACAGGTCAGTAGGGTTGGGCCATATCATACTATTCACGGTAATACCAGTATAATGTTAGGCAATGATAAGAAAATGAAATATCGGGTTGGAATATGGGTAAACACGCATGTGCAGCGCCTTTGTTTTCATACGCACATGGCGGCGACGGAAAATGAGAAGGGCAAAAGCAGATTGTTGAATGAAACAGATGAACCAGAATTGTTTTGTAAAACTGGTACAACCTCAATGATGTGGAACTGGTTTGGGCTTTCATCTGTCAGATACACACCAAAGCACATTTTTTGGTAGAGCATGCAAGCAGGCCATCGTTATTACCAAACCGATTTTAGGTGGTACACCGCGCTCAAAAATCTGTCAAAAGTGCTTTAGTTCGACTTTGCTAAGCTACGAAGCCGCACCACTTGATGGATTGTCGGAGCATTATGTCTACCGTAGTCGGGAGCCTCGCGGAGTAATACATACTGTGCTTCAACATAATATTACCGCATTGTGTGTGTGTGTGTGTGTGTGTATATATATAAAACCTTTTTTAGTTTTGTGGATATTATACATGGTTATGCTGAGGATATGTCAGCCAATTTGTACTGGAAATGCCTTTTGGTTAAACTGTCAGCAAGGAATTTGCACTTTTAAATGTTTATTTAAAACATGCCATATACAGGCCATATTGCCCTGCCCTACAGGTCAGTAAGAATTTAAAAAAAAACAAACAAC